AATTCTGGGCGTTTTAGCGGCTGGGACGGAAGCCCATGAAACCCAACCGGAACGCAGCGGAACTCAATGGGAACTCAACGGAAGTCAGCGGACCCAACGGAACTCAATAGAAAAGACTCCAGTCATGAATAAATTCAGGAAAACATAGGAAAACAGTGTGCCCTGGCTCGTCAAAATTCTGGGCGTTAAAGGCCGGGATGGAACCCAGCGGGAGTTCAACGGAAGTCAACGGAAAGACGAAAATTGAGAAACAAAGTGTGTGGGCGGGTGGAATTGTGAAAAAACTGGCTAAATTCTGGGCGTTCAATGCTGGGACGGAAGCCAATGGAACCCAACCAGAACTCAACGGAAAGGAGCTCAATGGACGTGGGATTTAGATTTTAAACGCGTGTTCTTGCTGAAAAGCGATCGCGCGCTTGCCAAAACATGTTGGCATACAGAACGTGAAACACAACAGCGCGCCCACCAATCTTGATATCTTTTCACATGGTGTTTGGATTGGTGTTTGGAGGGGTGCTCAGAGCGGTGTTTGAAGTGGTGCGCAAAATGGTGCGCAAAGCGGTGCGCAAAGTGGTGCGCAGAGTGGTGCGCGTGCACCACTCCAAGCACCAGGCTGCGCACCACCCTGCGCACCACCTCAAACACCGGGTTGCGCACCGAAAAACCAGCTAATGTTAACGCTTGTACGCCGTCTTCAAGTTAAAACCAACCAGCTGTGCTTTTAAGACTAGTGAAACGTCCGGGGGGTCCCCAAACATTCACCACCACAGGACATCAAGAGAGATGGACTGTGCAGAAGGAAAAAACACCTTGCAGGAGACCAAACAATGTCACTTAAAGCTTGAGTTCTAATTCATGTTCTCTTCAAAAACACCATTGTCCCAGTTCTCCCAGGAGATTCTACCCGAAAACGACCTTTCCGATGGCTACTGATTCAGACCCTTTGGGACCAAAGAATATCGATGAGACATTCAGCTGGGCATCAACTTATTTGATGCGATTGTTCAACAAGTTTGGCAAGCGCCAGGTTCGAGACCGACTGAAAAAGTGGCCATTGTGGCATTGCGCCACCATGTTCTCTGGGGTTGGCTGTGCAGAGTCCGTCGAAGTCTCAGGGGTTACTTCATGGGTCACGCGGAAGGATCATGGCAGGGAAGAACAAAATTCATGTTTCCCCAGGCCCTGCTGAGTTTGCAGTCAGCCATCAACAAGGAGATGCCGAAGAGATTTGGGAAACATATCAAACTTCACTTCGCATGTGATTTCGATACCTCTTGCCAAAAAGTCCTTTGTGATACTTACTCCTCATGTGTCTTCACAAACATCATGGACTTTGACCCGAAGAAGAAGCAGCTTTGGTGTGTAAAACACCAAAAGCTGTGCAGCTGTGAACTGCCAGTTACACCAAAAAGCTACTTAGCTTCTGATTCTTGTTCGAGAATGTATCAACGTACTCTGATTCAACTCATGTTCTTTGAACACCAAGCAACCCACCTAAGCTCAGGCTTGCGAGTCAATGTGGCAGGACTTGGGTTAACTCTAAACCTGGTTCATGTTAAAGCCCCTCACTATTCAGGTCGGGTGTAGACATTCCCCCAAAATAACAATGTCCAGCCTCAAGCCCGCAAAGGACCACCTTGCCAACCGTATTCCATGATGGGCCTGCGCAAGAAGGAAGCAGATGTGAAACATCGTGTTCACGAACACTACTACAGTCATGCAAAGGAGTCTGCCGACATACATATCATCGAGAATGTCACAGAATACCAATTGCAAGACTATGTTGATCTTCACTTTGGGAATGTGGGTTGGGATTCTCGGATTGTGAAGCTGGATCCACGGTGCTTCGGCTATGGATGCGCTCGCCCAAGGATTTATGGGATCATTTGGAATGTGGCCTACATGGGCCAATGGAACCCCGACTTTCCATTCCTAGAGGTCTTATCAGCTTTGCAGGCTAGGCCATGCATGACGGCTGACGACTTCTTCTGGAGCAAACCCCAATCATCATCATTGTCTTCTGCGCAGGACTTTTAGCCTAAAATTAACTCTTTCCCTCTCCCTCACTCTCTTTCTTAGTCACATCCTGGTTTTGTTTGGATTCCCTTCTCGAACTTTCTACAGAACAAATGACCTCTACCCTATACCGCCCAGGAGGCCAATCTGAAGGACTATTGCACAGACTTCCCGAGGAATGGCTGGAAAGTCTGCGACTTGAATCAGATGGTGCGGAACTCACGTGGGAGGACGGAGTGCAAAGATGGCTCCCTCATGACTTTGACAACGAATAGTGGAAGTTTGTTCAGCAAGGTGCCAAGGGATCAACACTTAGTGTACTATGATGATGTCAATTGTTTTAAAAGTGGACATTGACTTGAACTAAACTCCATTCCTTCTTTGGGAGGCTTCACGACGAGTCATGGATCCGGTGGAGCTGTTCACTACGCACGCCTTGCCTCTGACATCTGACCAGAGCGAAGCTGCTGGAGCACCCCCACTGGGCGTTGCTTCTGCCTCCAAAACTGCATCTGTGAGGATGGCTGGGAACGCTATGTCCCTCCCTTGTGTGGGGGCCATCATCGTGGCAGCAATCCTTGGACTCAGTTGAGCTAATGAAGCTAATTCAAAGCATCTGACCTTTTGAAAATTAGTGCCCTCAGGGTATATAGTTTCCAGCTTACTCGGATAATGCCCTTCAGGAAAAGGTTTGTTAGGCTGACATTGGAGTCCAGAAAGCATGGGGATTGAATTTGACATTGAGATGCTGTAACAACTTCATTCCCGGAGAAGGTTTTGGACTTTTGAGGGTAGTGAAGGATCACCTGGTGCGACTGCGGGATGGGTAAGCGTGGCCATGCCTTGGCGACGCCGCCATCGAGCAAGTCCCAGAAGGTCCTCAAGCTCGGGGCATGGAGCAACAAAATGTCGCTCACTGCCCAGACCCTTTTCTGAGCACTGGTGACCTCCATTTCCCACCCAGTCACCAAGAGGATGGTTGAAACGGTTTGTATCTAACACATATTGGGCCTCAGGAACTTCGATCCAGCCAAAGATGAACACCCAGTAGCCTGGCTGTTGAAGAACGCCAAGCGTGAGCTTTTCGAACCTCTTCATGACTGGCTTGCCACCGTGATGGGGAAAGAGATTCCGCGGCCAGATACAATGACCATTCCGGACAAGTTTGCCAATAGACCAACCTGTGTTCAAATGTGTTCAATCAAACAATAACTGTTCCCCAGTTGAAAGTTCCCTTTTCAGGATGGAGCAACGCAAACATCAACATTGATCCCGATCTTGGCGTTTACCCCCACCTTGCCCGCGGACGGTTTGCCTATGCTTGGCGATTGGTTGTCAACAGCCCATTCGATCTGGGGCTTGGGCTTTGAACGCCATCGAGAAGCAGTGGAGTACAGACCTGTGGACACAAACTTGGCTGGAGAGCCAATGTGCTTCGGGAGTCTCGAGGTGGTGAAAGGCCTTGGGAGAACCTCGGTGCTGCTCTATTCCCTGTTCTACACATTCCTCTGCCTCCAAAAGGGCCTGACTCCAGAAGAGCTAGATGATTTTCGACAGTGGCCCGGATTGGTTTTAGTAGCTCATCCAGCATAGTTGGGTCGCCTTTGGGCTATCCATGTACTCAAAAATCCAAAGGTGATGGTGGGGGTGCCATCGTCGCCTTTCACATGATAGGTCTCAGCTAAACCCTGGGTAGGGCCCTGAAGACTAAATGTAATCTTGCAAGAAGATCAAGAAGGGCTGGGCTGGTAAGTAAAGGGAGGGGGCAAAATGTGAAAGGTGATGGTGGGGGCGCCATCGTCGCCTTTCACATGATAAGTCTCAGCTAACCCTGGGTAGGGCCCTGAAGACTAAATGTAACCTGGCGAGGGCTGGGCTGGTAAGTAAAGGGAGGGGGCAAAATGTGAAAGGTGATGGTGAGGGTGCCGTCGTCGCCTTTGGATTTTTGAGTACATGGCCAGCCCAAAGGTGACGCAACTATGCTTTGTTGGCAGGGTTCAAAGGTGATGGTGAGGACGCCATCGTCGCCTTTACAATACATGATTTCGACCAGGTTGCGCTAGGAACTCAAACCTGTACATGATGGAATTGGAGGGTGTCAAGTTGTGAATAGTTGGGGACTTGGTAGGGTCACGCCACCTAAATTGATTAGGTGCTATTTGCTTGACAAACAAATTCAATCCTTTACAAGATTGAGCCACTAGGTGGATCGAGAATGGCATCGCAGTCAATGGGGTTTACATCAAGCAGGATACCCCTTCTGCCTACATCTGGAGGCGAATCCAAATGAGCGAGCAACAGGCCGAGCGCCAAAAGAAATCGATCCTCCAACTGTGCTTGGCTTTCCACGGGCGCACTGAGCAACTTGTGAAGGAGAAGACTCTAGAAGTTGTTTGTTCTCAAAACTCTTAGATCAATCAAGCTTTTTGTCCTTGAAGGGATGGAAACCACATGATTGGGCTCGGCTTTGCTTTATATTATATCAAATTAGATCATGAGTTCGGACAAAAAAGAGTTGACAAAACTCACCATTCAGTGTTGACAGGAGCACCATGGAACACTGCCAGCTGGGGAAGCTGGCTACCGCCAAGCCTGGGACATGGCGATTGAGGAGTACAACAACTTTGGCCTGGCGGCGATGACGGCCAAGATGCAGATTGACAAGACTCAAGCAAACCTTATGTTCGGCTTCAAGGCCTTTATGGGTTCCAAACTGGGCCAAAAGTTTGAAGCCATGGACCACTGCTTCCAACATGTTCCAACATTGAAAACATACTCGCTTGACAAAATCTTGCATGTCACCCCCATGAAACCTCCGATGAACAGGTGGGCGTGTGCGACGAAGTTTGGAAGATGATTCGGCAACACTTGGACATGCACAGGTTTGACCAGTCAGGCAGGCAAATGCCAAAACATGTTTCTTGAGCCCTTTGCCTCAAGTGTTTCCTTCACTTGCCTAAAAAGTTTATAATCTTCTTTATGGCGTCTGATTTTATGCCCTGGCCCTGGCCAGCCTTTCATCGAGACACCCTTCTGCAGCCTCGATGGTTCTTGAACGGCAAGCCCAAATCGATGGACGGCATTTGGGCAGAGATGTTGACAATGACAGATGCTAAGCAACATGTGTTCCTGCAGCGGGTCCTCTTCATCTTCGATGTGACGAAGCGTTCAGCAGGGAAGGCCCAAGTGCTTCGTCTCTCTGCGCAACAATGGGCCGCCGAATGCGACCTTTGCTGTCTTGGAGCATATGTCCTTGAACAGATGCATGATCACAGGGATGCAAACAATTTGATGGTCTTCAATGACGGCGTCGTTAAAACGGTCATGAACCAACTCATTGAAGGGCTGCTCATTTGAGATTAGACTCAAATTGTTCTTTCCTACAGGTGTGCATCGTGGTAAACCTATACGTCTCCCTTGTTCCCCACACCTCCTCCTGGTCCCGGGTCTGAACATAAAAATTAAGGCCTAATCCTGAGTAGGTCTTACATGTCTTCCTGCTCGATGTTTTCCAGTTGGGTGTCTGCTGGTGGTGAGTGGACCAGTTGTCACTTTTGCTCTGCAGGGACTTTCACGAAGAGCTCAAGCAAATCATGGAGGTTCAGGACGCTGCCTTCAAGCCAGAGATGTGTTCTATGTGGAGTGACCACTTGCCTTCTGCAGCGGCTGCTCCTAGCGATGCTCAATTGGTGCACGCTGATGAAAAGATCGAGGATTTGACGAAGCAGAACTGGAAACTCCAGTTTGAAGCCGACTCGCTCTCACTGGCCAGGGACGCTGCTCAACTTGCTCGCTTGTACAGCGAGGAGACCAAGTCCGAGAGGGCTTCAAGGGTGGCTAGGGTGTGCCACTTGCGTCAAGAGAATGCAATCGGGTCCAGCTTGGCTGCCTCCTTCATGGCCAAGTCCTGCCACCACCGAGCAGGTTCTTCTTCAGAGATTCAGGAGGAACTCTCGAAGGCGCTGTGGTTTGTACAAAGTTTGAGCGTTAAACCTTCTTCCACAAACGCCCACAAGGTTGTGAAAAAATGTGTTCCCTTGGTGAGCCTCAAGGTTAACTAGATCCCTCAGAAGTTTTTCTAGCGGACCTATACTAACTAACATGTCTTCCTTACATGATACTTTTTTTGGGAGGACTACCGAAAATAGAGTCGTGCACGGCTGCTCGCACCCTGAGTTTGTGGCCAAGCTGAAGGCCGACAATGGGTCACTGATCGTTTGGGTTGACTATATGAAACTGGGTAGAGTCACGACCCAGGATTTGAACCTCACAATGGATTGCATCCAGAAAGCCCTTGCCTGCATGCCAGAGCGTTCAGTGGCCTTTGCCATTGGGCCACACCTTGTTTCGGAGCGTCGAAGTGGGATTCGGGCAGAGCTCAGGACACTGAATTTTCTCTCAAGACAGGTAGTAGGTTCCCAAGGTTGCAACACGACATCTTTTTGAATTGGCAACACGAGGTTTGTGTAAGGTTTGGATTTGGACGACATCCTTTTAAGGTTCATTCACCTCACCAAAACTGTTGGAATGGGATGATAGGGTGTTAAAATGCTATTGGCTTGGAAATACACAGTAAAGGTTCACCAGTTAGAGAATCATCTCCCCCAAAAAGGTAAACTACTGTTGTATGCAACAATCAAACTCCTTCCAGGAGAATCGAGGATAAGATGGATGCAAAGAACTTGCATGCGGAGAGCATATCCCTCAGATGCGAAATTGCACCCGCTACAAAAAAGGTCCAGCTTTGGTATCCAGGGTGGCTGATCTTCGCGGATGGCTGTGTGGAGTCCAATGTGTGGGCATCATCACAGCTAATGTTGGAGAGGAGGGACTTTCAGACCTCTCATGTCATATATCCAAGATCGGTTCCAACTATAACCTTGTTGGCTAGTTTCTAAGGGAACTCTAAACATCATTGAATGCCTACAACAACCCATCTTGGAGGATGGTGTTCATCGTAACTGAATGCAGGGACAGCTTCAATATTTGGAAGTAATGCCAAAACAATACACAGTTGCGTGTGGGATCACCCATGTACAGGACCCCTCGTGATTTGCTGCCTTGGACCCCTGAGCATCAGTACACTGTTCCGGTTGCCCGAGAGTCCGTACCACATGCATCAGAAGGCATGAGGCCTGGCACGTGTCAAAAAGCAATAGCTGGCATTGTTCGGTTCGAAGCGGGATGCACACCCATGGGCCCACTGACAAACACTGTGTGGTGAATGCTAAATATCTGTTATTTATCATCCTATTACATCAAGTGCGTTGAACAACATTTTGTTTGATATGACATGACAAGTTTTCCTTTTTGTACTCACCCGCCAGGTCACTTTCAGATGTCCAGGAAACGGCGCAATTGCTTTCTGGAGAAAGCATGCCAAATGCAGTGTTGACAAGCTTGCTGAGTGGGAGCGAGACTGACTCCTTGATCGGGGTGGTGAACCTCACGCCCTACGATGGGAATCTCGAAATTTCTCTGTTGAAGAGGGGGCTGGCAAAGCCGGAACACACCTACAGGAGCTTGTCGTTTGCCAACGACATGACAGTGAGCCAGCATTGTGAGAAGGTCTGCGCTTTTCATCTCTTTGAGGACATTATGTGGATGAACATTGTAGCCCAAGAATTGTTGACCAGGAATAAATTTCAAATAATCTTATCTGTTCAGTGGGGGGTTCCAAGAACAAATGCCATGATTTGCTACTCTTCTGTTTCTAACTCAGGTTCTTGCGCGATTGAAGTTGGAACCCTGAGCTTTTAGCAGCATTCATATTAAGAGATCTTTTTTGAAACTCGGTCTCCAGGATTGGAAGGTGGGTGGCAAACTCATGGGAGATGTGAGGGCCTATGATCCGTCTCCACCCAAAGATGCATCTGGACCTCTGGACATCTCCAGTTTCCCCTTGAAGCTGGCCCAGCTCTCTATGGACCCAAAACAGAAGGGCATCGCGAAGTTTAAGGTTGAACTCACTAACGAAGTGCGCATGCTACACCTTGACAATGTGCTCTATGGGCCTTCATGGCGGAGCCTCATCCAAGACTTCGACAAAAAGCCCCTCATGGATATTATATGTTTTCAAGGTTGTGTATTCTTAAGAAGTTGTTCAACTCCCGAAGGGAGTTGTTCAACTCCTGAAGGAAGGTAGTTCCAATAGTTTGTTAGATAGACTTAAAATGACTTACAGTAAATTACAATGAATCTCAATGTTAAAAGATCCCAGAAGTGACTTTCAACCTGAAAGCACCAACTGTCAAATGCGAGTAAGCTCAGCCCTAAGGTTCTGCGGCGGTGCTGCGACGACCGATTCCACCGTGGTGGCGGCGCCTGAGGTGGAAGAAGAACCTGCTCCTACACCATTCACCTTGGAGCCAGACACGGTCGATCGTTTGCTCGAGATGTACGTGGTCGAGAACAAGGTACCAGCTCGGGAGCCAGGGTGCATGCTGATGCTCACTTCAGCTGTTCGACGGGATGGCACCAAAGTGGAAATGATCGAGGGCCAAAAGATGAAGCTTTGGCTGGTGTCTAGACTCAAGGTATGTACTCGAGCTTTTTCTAATTGAATGAAGAAGTATTTCACAGCTCCATCCAGTTTCCAAACGGTGGGGATATCCCAAGCGTACACTGACGCCTGTCCCTGACACCTGATTGAGGTCGCCCACCATGAGATCGAAATTGCTGACGATGAGTTTCAGCTTGCACATGGGAAGTCCACCTGGCTCAAACCCGAGAAGGTGCAGAAACTTATGCGTGAGGGTGGAGGCCTGGTATGCCTTGGTTTGCTCTAGTTGCCTTTTTTCATCTTGATCAGTTTCTGCAAGTCTCCATCCTGCACTTGACTTACGACCTTTGCTTGCTGTTTTGCAGAGGCTCTCGATCTAGGCTTACAAGTAGGCTCTCTTGTGAAGATCACACTCGTCATACCATATGGCGACCGGCGGGGGTTGCGTAGAAGAGTTGTCACTCAAAGATGTCTTGGCGAAGCACGGGCTACAACAGGACAGCTCCATGTCCCAATCAAGCAAAACTCATGACAACTAGTTGTTCCATTTCTGAATCCACAAGTTGCATTTCAATGCAAAAGGTTGCATCGAACTACATTTGACGTTGTTCTGCGTCGATTTTGAAAACAGAGGCTTTGAAGGTCAAAGTCACCTTAAACTTCCACAGAGTGCTTTCAGTCTCACACTTAACTCGCTTAACTTCTTATTTCTTATGTCTCTTGGACTCTTGAAGGTCCTATGTTTGTTCAATTTCACAGGACTTGGATTCTATGTTGGCCGCGAGCCCTGGGGCCATTCAGACTCCACCAGGCCACATCGCTCGCGCCTCAACCGTCCAGATATGCCAATCCTCCTGCATTCGAAGATTCATTGGCCTGCCCTACTACTAGCAACATTGAATGCATGTTTAAATGATTTCCATGCAACCAACCAGACAGGCTGTAACTGAGTCAAGCTTTCCCATGTTGGGTTCCAAATTAAAGACATGTTCAGAATCACTCCCAGGTTCAGAATCACTCCCCGGAGCTTCCATCCGCTGGCTCTGCTGCAAAGGGTCCGGCTCCTCCAAAGCGCGACTTGGAGCTGCCACTTCGAATCTCAAGCGGAGCTGGAGACTCCAGCCACAAAAAGCTTGATGCAAACAAGACAGCAAAACTGAAGGGTGAGGTGGCCCAGGCTATGGCAAAAATCAACAAAGAAAAGCAGTCCGCAAACCAAGCTGCAAAAGCACTCAAGGAGAGGATTGCAAAGCCTGAGAACTCCAACCCAAAGGCAAAGGCAAAGGCAAAAGGTAGGGCCAAGGCCAAGGTGACACCCAAACCAAAGGCCAAGAAGGGTCGTAAGGCCAAGGGGGAAGAAGAAGAGCCAGAAGAAGAAGAACCAGAAGAAGAAGAAGAGCAAGAAGAAGAAGAGCCTAATGAAACACCTGCACCTACTCGGAAACAGAAGGCAGCAGCAACACGTTCAGCAGCTGCCGCCAAACCCAAGCCTAACAAGAAGGCTAAGGCCTGGTTTGTTTTTTACTGTGTTACAACTGTTTCTTATTTAGTTTGTCGTATGATGAGATGTAATATGAGTTCTTGTGAGCATGTGAAACTCCCTGAGACATGTGCTGGCAAAACTGCTGCCAAGACGGAGGCTCGAGTGAGCAATGAACATTGACAGGTATACTAGGTTGCTAAATCACCTATTAAATTTTACTACAGAAAGAGTAGTGAGAAACACTTTGCGACTAAATCATCTACTTACTGTATCAGTACTGGGCATGAGTTAAGCCATGCCTTGATGACAAAACGCCAAAGCTCTTCACCTGTTTGACATCTTACCTGTGCATCTGCCCTTCACCTGTTTTATCAGGCCACCGGTGATGAGGACGATGTCCTTGATTCTGAAGAAGATTTGTCTGACTGTTCGAGTGCCACACGACGCCTTGGAGATTGGGATGAGGAGGAGAAGCCGAAGAAGCCGATGAAGAAAGCTTGTGAAGAGCCAGTTGAGGGTGAGAACATGCGCTCACTTTACTGGGCAGTGGTTCATGAGGAACAGAAACGGCTCAGGAAGGCACATCCTGAGATGAGGGCTTCCGAAGTTCTGAAGATGGCTCGAGCGTCGTGGTTTGGATGCACCTAACATCATGCATGTACAGCGTTGTGAGTCAATGGGTCCACTGATGGCTGGATGTCTCGATGAATATGTGTTATTTTGTGTTTGCTTCCACCTACTTGGTGTGTGTGTACAAGGTGGGAGACTCACCCTGCTCGTGTGAACGTGCTGAAGCATATGAGCAATTCTGAGTTGAGTCGTAGACGGCTGAAGCCTGGCCAGCAACGGACTGGCCGCACAAAGGCTAGCAAGTAGGTGCTGTCAGCATTTTGCTGAGTTGCTTTCCTTCAAGTGATGCCCACTCAAATCATCTAGCGCATCCAATTCGGGTTGTTGCAATGAGATGCAATTAAATTTTGAAGCGCAGGGTGGAGTGGGGCTTGATAGAGACTAGGTGATTAGCTGCAGCTGCAGATTCACAACAGAGTGTACGTGGGGTAGAAATTGCACTGTGAGTTGGTTCTGGGCCACTGGTTTGTGCTGCACACAAAGGTAGGTGCACCTACATGATTGCCTGGATGGCCTGCAGGTGATGCGTTTCAATATACGATTCCGTGCAAGTTCAAGAATGACCTCCATCAGGTCGTATTGGAGATCCAGAGTGAAACAAGCAAGCAGTGCTCAGATGCCAAGCCATGTAGCATCAGAAGCTTGCTTCATGAGATGGAAGACACGGGCTTGGTTGAAACGAAGCTTCATGGGCATAGCCTTGACCGTCCAGAGGTGGACTCTGGAGATGGTCACTGGACTAGCATCTAAGGCTCTTTCTAGCTTTAATGTCCAATGTATGAACAACAGAATCTATACAGAACACAGTGTGACACTTTAACAAAGAACCAACAATAAGACAATGTAGTTATTTCAACACCAATTTTTTGCTGTGTGTCCAAGGTAGTGATTTCTATGTGGTGAAGTCCACGGCCCCTGCTATGTTTTCCTACACACCGGGTGTTGGAAATTTGAAATACACTTCGTTGGCCAGCGCATTCCCAGTAGAGGTGGGGTCCTAAACATGTAATGTTTCCTTGATGACTCTCCCCAATACCCTGGCGTCAAACATCAGCCTTCTTGCAGGTTCTTGAGGCCAGCCCTATGATTGTTCGCCATTGGCGAGTGGCCTACTTGAAAGCAGAAAAGGAAACTAGGCAGAAAAGGAAACTCAAAGCCGTGAGAAGTCTATTTCAATCTGGCTCAGAAAACTGTTCTGGGTTGCCCGACGCATCGCTCAGGAGCTTATGCCCAGCCACTCAGCTCCATGATGAATGGACATCGAATGGCAGGTTACGTTTTGTCTTGGTCACTAGGTTCTGCGTGATCACTGATCCATTGGACCTTTCAAGCTCTGAGGAAAACCATTATATTATCTCCGATCTCCCCATTCCTTCAAAGCGCATGGGGTTCTACGACTGGTGTGAATCTTCTTTAGCAGCGACCAAGAGGGTGGCTGTTGTCTCGGGGTAGCTTTGTGAACCATTGTCGGATTTGAGTCCTAAGAAACGTTAATCCTGATACTCGATAGTTGACTATTTAACAACAAATAGCTTTGTTTGGAGATTATGTGGTTCAATAGCAACAGCAGCTGAACCTCGACCCAGGGGTTGTGACACGTGTGAACACGTGTGAACGTTTGGATCACACTGGCTTTGAGCGAGAAAAAGCTATGCCTGGCAGCGGCCTCATCACTTCCCAGCACAAAGAATAAACATAATATCATGTACCTCGAATAAAATGAAATCACCCTCGATTGACATGAAACTTACTTTAATGCAGCTTTAGGAGCACTGCTAGTCTTCATTTGTCGAATCATGCGTTCTTGTGAATCAACTAGAGATAAAGATGCAGCTGCCAAAAAGAACTTAACATTTGTTTGGCGTCAGTACTCAAGGCCCTTGCTCTAGTTTTCTTTGTTCTGCTGGTGCATATGCTGTCAGCATTGCGCCATTGTACCCCCAAAGCCTAGATGAGTGGGAAGCTTGCAGTTGATTGTGCTGACAACGCATAAATGATCCCTTTCTCTTTCTTTTGTGGCATGACTGCCAGCCTCTGGATGGATTGACCAAAAATACCTATGCCCTGAAAGATATTTTACGGGACAATCGCCGTCGCGGCCCTGAGCACAAAGATGACGCTGGGAATCCAAAAGGCCAGATTGAGTGGGACTGCGCCCTTTGTAGCTTTTGGTTGAATGGATCAGGTGGCAACCAATGGCAAGTTTAAACTTGACACTGTGAGGCAGCCACGGATCTTGCATGACGACGATGCGTTGCTATATTGGTCTAGAAATTCATGGTCAAGCTCTGTCTGAACCCATGGTCAAGCTTGCAAACATCCTGGTGTTGACATGGCAACCTGCGAGTGTCGACATTTCCCCAGTGTTGGTCTGCCAAACAGGTTCTTTTCATGCCAAAGTGTGGGGCCCGCTCATGTTGATGTGTCACAAAGAGTGACATGATCCAAGTGAATCAAAAAGAAGACTGGCATGTGATTCTTCTTCTCAGCTTGAGGGAAAGATCATATTCATTCAACTTCATAACCATATCCTCTGGACTACTTCCCAATCCACACACATAGATACCGCGCCGCTCCGCCTCCGCTCTTGGGGCTCCACTGCTTCAGCGGCTCCCGGCGGCAGCCCTTTGCGACCGGGGGACCATGCGAGGTTTCACGGCTTGGGGGCCCAACGAAAAGAAGAGAGATGAGACTCGTGTGTGTTTCTTTCCTTTTTTTCCCCTAGTAGCAACTAGCTACTAGTAGCAATGCCCTTGTTACTAAGCCCAAAATGCCCTTAGTAGACTAAGTAGCTTGTGTAGACTTGATGTTTCTTTTTGCACATCATGTAGACATTATATGCAGGTCTTGACCAATAAAACCCCTTCATCTGGAGGGGCTATCAAGAGAAATCACGCCGAAAGACTCCGAACGGCGCAGATTCTCCGTCCATTGGCGCACTCCGAACAGGGCTGAGTGTCCGTCCAAACGGCGGGCGAAGCATCCGCGGTGTTTTTTTTGCCCAGGTGCCAACCGTCTATTTTCAGAAGTATGCTTGGACGCCTCAGATGGGAGCTGATGTGCAGAGAGCTATAGCTATAGATCCTGGTGACCTGGAGAGAGGTTTTTCCACCCTCCCTTCCTTTTGGTTGTACCCTTCTGTTTGTCAAAGTCAGAGTAGTCAGAATATACCT